TGCCAAGGAAAAATTTTGTCCCCGCTGATTCCAACAGATTTATCCGCTCGATGACACACCCTACTCACAATTCGTTTGGTACCGAGACGACGCTCACGAAAAATAGGCCGCCGTCCCTATAGCCATCCCTATTTCATCTACTTACTGCTAGTGATACAGATGTTGTCTCTATAGCATTACAGACCAGCTTCGCATAGCTCAATCTATCTACTCATGTCTGCAAGTCGATATGAACTGATAATTTAAGGTGGCAGGGAGAGCAAATAAAATGTGTTTAAATAATATGATAACCTTCAGCGCCTCCAATGATTTCATCGGACCACTATGTGCATCTGTCCGCAACAACTACCTTCATAAAGTCAACGACATCGCACTAAAAAGCTCGTTAGTGTTTTGGCGCTTACAGCGTCCGCAGACATAGGGACATCTGCAGTCACTGAGTGCCCCGCTCAGCTGGTGCCGATATTTGGTTTGCTCACCTGCATACATTTCACACAAAGTTTACCGCCCCCACCCCTAATTTTCAGAATTTATTGGCGTTGAACGTAGCTTGGTTCTACCTTAAACATGCATCCGGTTTGCCTAGTTCACAAGCGATCTTCCTGACACCTACTGGACACAGTTGCTCCACGTCGTAAAAACAGCATATCATCCTGTCATAAACGGCAGATGTGGGTATTGCGGGGCAAACCCAAGGTTCCTTTAGTAGCAAAGACTTAATTTCGTCAGTTTATAAAGCCTTGAGTCGGGTAAGCCACGGCGATCGGTGATAGCCCTCGTTTACCCGTCCACCAAGGCCGGAGAAGGGCCCAATCCCGTCATGCAAGTTGCTTGATGATGAGCCTTTATTGGAATCTCAGCTAACGGTGCTACAATGTTGTACATGCTTTTAAGACGGTAGAATACTAGCGCCGGCGTAGTAGGGCTCCTTGCCGTGAAGGCGTAAAAGGTCGCAGAAGTGATAAGTAGAGTGGATCAAAATGAGGTAAAAAGAAAATGGCCAACCCGTGCTCGCCTGATAACGTTATGTTTTTGCAGAATCGACTAGTGAAGCAAGTAACATAAACAGTTTTAGACCCTGATCCTTCGTAAATTAAGAAGCAAGAACAACAATGGCCGCTGCTATAAGGGATGTCCCCTGTCCGAATGCAGGGGAACATCCCTCATAGCAATATAACACTGTTTAAATGTATGCAGGTGCACAAAGAAAATATCAGTACCGACTTGGTGAGGCACACAACGACTACAGATGTCGGCATGTCCGCGGACGCTATAAGCGTGAAACACTAACGAGCTCCCTCATAATTCCGCGTTGACTTTGCGAAAGTAGTTGTTGCCGATGGATGCACACATTGGTCCCTTGAAATCGTTAGAGATGCTCAAATGCATGAACATATTTAAATTCATGTCATTTGGGCACATCAGTTCAAATAATTTGTATTTTTTGTGTGGCACACAAAAAAGCTACAAGCGCACAACAATAGATGAAGGTAACAGGGGCCACACAGGAATTGACTTTGTCTGACAAAATCTAAACACGCGAGTGGCAGTGCAGCCAGAAGATCATCCAAGACCAGCCACGATTGGCGCACTTAGATTTCAGCCCTATGGTGTTGCACAAAAAGAGACGGTATAATCAAACCCACCTCCCCCGCCGAACTTCTCAGGGGTTTTTATACCATATTCATAAAAGGGTGGTGGGTTCTTGCATATCTACCTCCCTGAGGCTACAAATGTCGTTAAAACACTTTGTGCTGTACAGCTGATCTCAGCTAGCCCAAGTTATGCTACTTTTCCTCGTAAAAATATTAGCAAGAACATTTTTGCAGCTTGGTGGGAATGCACCGTACCCACTGTCGCTGTTGCTGGAGAGTCTATTGTCGCGCCCACGGAAGATCCTGCTCTCCCTGCCACGGAAGAAGTCGCCGTAGCTACCGTGGGGAACTTCCCCCACAGCCACGGAGGTAGCCTCTTGCTCTGCCGCGTGGAAAACTACTGGTTTTGAAAACTGGAGCGGTCGCCAGCTGTATAACGCATACGGCGATGTTGGCACTTCCACAGAGGGAGCCACCGGTCCAAGCTACCACAGAGGGAGCTACCGGCGCCATCGGAGCGGGGGGCCCACCGTTTCAGCTGGTGTACCTAAAACGCGATAGGGGTAATACCAAGCATTCCTCGTTAAGAAGGAAAGCTGAAAGCTAAAAAAACTTCGCGACATGAAGACAACCCTGGATTGTGCATCGGCTATCTTGTGCAAACACCAGCAAGGCTGGTAGAGACTTTTACTCCACGTATTTCTTTTTTCCAGAGGAAACTTAATCACTAAATGGCATCACTCCCGAAATGCAGGGGTGAAACCTTCAAGAAATGTCTTCTAAATTAAATTCACATGAAGAAAATCGCCATTTGGACACTGACGTCAACAGATTTTAAGTCAAATCAGCTGATTACAAAATTTTGCCAAAAAAGTGTTAGTCTTTAATTTATTTAAGTACATTTGTTTTCTTGGTATCACACGAGTGTGATGCCACTTTATTCTTCCTTTCGTTTCAAGTGCCTTTAGAGGTACCATCTGTTGCTTAAAATGTTGACTAATTTCTCTGCAAGATTTTCCAACTGCAAACTTGAACGTATTTCATACATCAATTGAATAAATTCACCAGCCGCCCAAACATGTTTGATATGCACCCAAGAGTGAACAATTCACAGGTGATAAGGGAGACAATCTGAAGCACGGAACTTATTTTTTCCGTCATTTTCCCCTCTGAAACCCTCGTTTAACCGTTTTTTTTTTTGTTAATGGCGGTGCTCAATAATGGTAAATCTTAGCCTTTCGAGCGTCTAACTCACCAGGCTACCTGACAAGGTCATCCTAATGCTGTCATACAGAGCCCTGGGACAGACCTGACGCAGGTACTACAGAAATGTTTGATGGCGAAATTCTGCCCTCTGGCGATGTTTATCATGCACACCTCTTACTTGTTTCCGCATCTTAGTCTCGTAGGTTGGTGGGCATGATTGATATTTATACTCGGAGGGTGAGTAGGATGACTCTGCCTGACATGACATGACATGACATGACATGACATGACATGACATGACATGACCTGACATGACATGACAACCATGACAATCAAAATAGGTTGTTCAAAGTGATATTAAGTGTGTTGATTTGTGTTGTCAAATTTTCTGATGTAACGAAGCATACACAAATGAACGCAATAAAAATGCAAGTTAAAAGTAGCCAAAAAATAGCTTTAACATGTTTTTATTACAAATGATGCAGTCAACAGATAAGTGAGTTGAGATGATGCACAACATATGGGCTACTCTAAGTTAGGTTAAGTTAGTTAAGTGCATGGCAAGTGGCAATAGGAATCGTGCAAGAAGCAGTAACTCACAACTGCTGCTGTGATACAAACAGGTTAGACAGAATGAGATGAAGTAAGGCATCTTTAGGTTGGCATAGTTAGGCTGCTTTCATGAAAATAAGCATTGGTATTTTGTAAGAAACAGTGACAAAATGCTTTGTTTTCCCTGACCCCATCTTAACAGAAGCCAGACTTATGTCTATAGTGTTTGACTTGGCCTGATGTGTAGGAGTCCATCGTTGTGTTTTTTGTTTTTTTTAGTGTTTTGTGCCTGCTGAATTTTCTGTTGTTATTTTGTCATTGAATTCCTTTGCTTTGTTAAAAGGAAGTGTAAACAGCGCTGTGGAAGGGACCCGCAAAGTGCAGCATCAAATTATTCGTGCTAATAATGTTTTATGCTCGTTACACTGTCATGAAATTACGATGGTTTAATGTATTCTGTTTCACATACATTGCCTAAGATGTTAAAAAACAAAACAGTTTTGTGAGGTTTCTGATATTACGTCCATGCCAACTTAACACAGATGTCTTTGTTTGCTGAAGCAATAGTCACGAGGGCATAAGTTCCATCTTTCGTGAATTGATTTTTTTACTCCCGCACGGTCTTTTTCCGACGGAATGTTTCACTCCCACCCTAATTCAAAAGCGATTCTAGCTCCCTGTAAAATCAGCTCGCTTGTAACTACTGGTTTAGAGCTCAGTGGAAAATGCTGCTATCAAATATGCTCATGAATACGGCATCGTCTGAGTACGTCGAGAGGCACAGATGTTCACTGTTGCGCGCTTGCTGAGCCCGAAGATTGTCCTACGCTTGCGTTTCAGCCCTTTCTCGTAGTGTTTTATATTCGTCCTGGACTTCGTAAGGCCAACTGCTGTCCGTTGATGCCACGAATCGTGCTGATTTATGCCAAACCCCAACAATTTTATAATTATATTCGCACTGACCTAGAGCACTACACAGCCAACGCGGTGGCGTCATTTGCGTGATGTTTCTATAGCATCGTGGATGTCTGATCCACCTCGAAGTAGTCTGTCCAAAAAAGTTTCCAGAAGTTCGCGAACGTGAAGCTGAAAAGCGAGAGGACTTTAAGTGTTTAAAAAGCCGTGACTGTGAACTGCATGGAATGGTGAAAAAATAGGATCCATGTGTTTGTCACCGTTTCATTGAATACAGCTATACCGCCGCTTTCAAGCATATTTTGTATTACGTCGAACACAATCCACACCTAATGTTCCTCGTACCAACCAAGCTCGGTAAGTTGTAAATACGTACCCTGGCACCAAGCTGAAACAATACACCAAACATGACAAGTTTCAGGTGTAACGGCATATGAACACAAACAGAACGCTTGAGAGCGAGTCAGAAATGAAAAGTCAGCGTTTGATCGCAAGTAAGCAGGCTCAGAGCACATACTAAAACAGGCGAAGGTGAGGGAGGCGGTTTGGGTAAATTGAGCTGTACGAGTGAGAAACGCCCTCCGGGCCGTACGTGCCCTGGAACGTGACGGGAGCGCCGGAGGCAGCGCACGTCTGAGGGTAGACACCAAGAGCGGCTGCGTTGTACAGGCGTGCATGCTCAACCTTAGCGGCAGCCACCTAAGGGATATCGTCGATTGGCAGAGCGCTGCGTTATTTGCGGTAGCCACTGTTGGTAGCACCAGCGTCGGTGGGCCTCTTCACGCCGGTGGCGGCAGCCGCCGGCAGGTTGGTGCCAGACACATGGCAGCCAAACTCGTCCACAACATAGTCGACCGTCTGTTTCACACCATTGAGGTCGGCGTAACTAAACGAGCCAACGATAGGAAAGACGGGAATTTCACCGTCGAATTGGGTGCTGACACCGTCGACCTGGGGGTGGACACCGGCCGGGGCGTTGGCAGCGAAGTCGTTATAGGCGGCAAAAGCGTACTTGGACGCGGCCAAGTTGGTCGAGTATCTGGAGGCGTCCGGTTGTACCGAGTGGGTCTGGCCGCTGTAGGGCAGGACGTACTGGGCAGACGCAACGGTCAGGACAGCGCACACTGCCATCTGAAAAGGACAGAGTCAACACAATATTTGTTGTTGAAAAGAGCTGGAAGAAGAAAGGCTGCTTCAAAGAACGTTGCTGCTTAAAATAATTAGTAGACGAAGCCTGTCATACATCTACCGAGCCATTGGTCCCGAGTGGAAAGTTGAGATCGCAATATTTATAAAACATGTGCAAGACAAAAAGGCATCCCAGTTACGCTAACATGTCTTTTTAAGCTCTTGGTATGTCACCCTGCGGATATGTAATGGTTGCGTTGTTGCCATGAAGCAGTGACTATGAAGAAACAGTTATTTTTTTTGAAATTCGAAATCACTTCCGTTAAAGAGACTGCTTCGCATTTGTATGGGGTTTTGAACTGAGATTCCCATCTTCATGATCCTTCCCTGAAGTTTATAGGCACCGCCATGTCCGGTTTAAGACTTTAAAGTAATCTTGTTTCTTAGCTTGATGCACGTGAACTTGTAGCGCCTAGTAAACATCGGAATACCTATAGTAGTTTTACCCAGGCATGTATGTCATCGTAGGAGTCAGGTGAAAACCTCATTACATTGGCCATGCTGTACTTATGGTGAAGATATCGCCATTTAACCAACTGTGTTTGTGGTAATGCATGTAGACCAAAAGACAATGGATAACGGTGGTTCCAGACTACAAGCGCCTGGGGGTCTATTCGTCGACGCCTAGCTCGTACAGGGATTCCGCTGCGCGATATGTGCTAGGCGCTCGGAAGGGGCCACACCGACCCATATATAATGACCTATAGGGCATCCGACCTATTCATGACTGGCGCTTGCAGCCTGCCTTGTACTTGCGGCTTCCAAAGTCCCATGGAGTCGCCTTGCAGCTTTTTAGCATAAGCAAGTCACTTGCTACCGAATGCTTAATTCATGATTATTTGCTGCATTTTAGAACTATGACCCTGTCTGGTTCAAGACTTCAAATCCCCTTGTTTCTGAGCCTGAGGCACGTGACCTTGTGCAGCCTAGAGGCGTAAGTCGCACAGGGACCCTTCTGAGCGGCATGTGCCAGGCGCTCGAACGGTGGCCGCATAACAGGATATTTTACCTAGTCATGGCTGGTGCGTTTAGCCTGCCCTGTGCTTCGGACTTGCAAAGTTTCATGGGGTCCCCTTCCGAATTTAACCACAGGGAGGTTACTTGCTACCGAATGGTTAATTCATGATGATTCTCGCCACTTTAGAACCATGACGCTGTCCGTTTCAAGATTTCAAATCCTCTTGTTTCTGAGCCTGAGGCACGTGAACTTGTGCGCTTGTGCGCACGTGAACACGCACGTGCACTTGTGCAGTCTAGTACCCAAAAGAACGAATACAGGGATTTCATCCAGATACGTATGCCATCATAGTCACATCACGCGAAAACCTATTTTGGCATTGCCATGCCGACGAGTGCAGGATAAAGGGAAGAAAGCATGCAAAGGCGAATGTCGCGATCACGGACCGCTTGACATCATGGATAATACAGCTATTCGGGCAATTGCTAAATGAGGCAGACAAAAGGCAGAAATAACCCAGGAATGGTGCCGTAATCGAAAACGCAACTGCAAAAACAAGAAAACTATCACGAAAAAATGCAACAAAACCACGAGAAACGGCCAAACCACACACACTTAACGCACGTAGGTTCAGTTGACACCCATGGATCAACACTGCCCCTGTGCAGTTTGTAAAAGCACTACAATTGTGTCATCGCCGTCCGCTACAGCGGCAACTCTGACGTGGCAGCACTCGCTGTGAATCTGACGTCATAAAAACTTTGTATGACACAATGAAGCGATGGTGTGATCAAAATCATCATATAGCAAAATTGCTGTATTCAGCAGGCATTTGCATTTAAAAGCATGCAAAATCGGAACACCGATAGCATTTTTACTTAGACATGTACGCCACTATAGAAAGGTTACGTTAAAACCTCACTGCATTGGCTGTGTTGTCGTATGTTGAAGATATGGTCATTTAACCATTCGTGCTTGTGGTGATGCATGCAAAATAAAGGGCAATGGAAAACGGTGGGCCAAGACTACACGCGCCTGGGGGTCTATCCGCCGAGGCTTAGCCGGGGACCTCACTGTGCGGTATTTGTTAGACTATCGGACGGGTGCCGCATAAGGGGGCACCGACCTATTTGTGACTGGCGCGTGCAGCCTGCCTTGGACTCGGAACTCGCAAGGCCTCAAAGGGTTGCCTTGCCGCATCTAACCATAGGGAAGTCGCATGCTAACTAATGCTTAATTCATTATCACTCTCTGCAGTTTACAACCATGACGCATAACGCATTACGAGGGACGGAGGCTAAAAGAAAGAAGGGATGCAGTAACAAATGTCGCGATCACGCACCGCTTTATGCCATAGGTAACACAGCTATTCGAACACCTGCTAGGCGATATGGACACAGCGCTGAGAAAAATAATCCGAGAATGCCGACGTAATCGAAGACGCAACTGCAAAAGCAACGACACTGTCACAAAAAAGAAAACAACTGTCAACAACACGACGAGAAAAAACCATATCGCACGCATACGACGCTCGTATGTTCAATTAACACTAATGGATCAACACTGTCGCATTGCGGCACGTCAAAGCACTACAAGTGAGTTTCGCCTTCCGCTACAGCGATCACTCCGACGCGGCAACTCTCGCATTGACTCTGTCGTCTCCAGCAGTCAGTTGCATTTAAGTTTTCAGATGTCAGATTCTTTCAGCATTGGCGCAAAATGACCGCTGCAGTCGACGCGCCCGAAATCAGCAATGAATAGCAACAAAGATTCTGTCAGCAGTATTTAAAAGCATGCGAACAATTACTAGCGAACTTTGTATATCATGTATGAGGGTTGCCTTGATATTTCCAAGTGTGGAAAGTTCCTTGATGCTGCTGATTGGGACTGGATCTCCTGGTGAAATGAAACAGCTTATCGTGGTGCATATCGTCAGCAAGCATCGCAAGCGGAGGACTCACCAGGATTTTCATGGCTGAACTCGCTGGGATCTGTGATGCTTGTGGACCGGCACCTGCCAACGTTATACCAACTGGGGGCTGCTCTAACTGGGAACCACTCCCGTGGCCAGCGGGTAACACTCGCATGTTGCGGAGAGGTTTAGTCGGCCGCGCCACGGTGGTCGGTGATTGCCCTCGTTTTCCCGTCCCCCAAGGTCGGGGAAAGGCCCCGTCCCCTCATGCAATTTGCTGAGTGATGGGTCCGTTACTGGAAAGCTCTGCTGGCAGTGCTACAATGTTGTGATGCTTTTAAGACCGTAGAATGTTATCGTCGGTGTGGTGCGAGCCGCCTCATACACAAATACGGGACACTGTCTCAGATAGTTGCACCCAGGATTTTCCTTGCCGTGTCTGGCCATAGGGAAGCCATTTGCTACGAAAATTGCATTTGCTCTCAACATGACGTCAGTGATCGTCTGGCCTGTATTATTATAAGGCCACCGATCACGGCTCTTCTCAGCGCCGTACACTTGCCTCGTCCGTCCCGTGTGTTATATAGGACATATATGGGGTACCCGGCTGGTTGAATTTGGATGGAGTAGTTCAAGTTTATTTTCAGCAAGAATACAAAGGTCTGTAATAAAACAGCAGCCTACGCAACTCTCGGTAGGATTAATTTTGCACAAACGAGACGCTCACATATAGAATAACAACAAAAGGGAAACTGGCCTTATCCGCCGCGTAAGTCGCTGGGGTTGGGTCATATGTGGTGTATGTATGCCGTCCTGAGGGTTTAATTGTGGAATGTTTAAATCAGTGTTGGTCAAGCATACAAATGTTTGTAAGTTAACAGAAGCTACCAACATCACCGTTGACTTTGTTTGACGCCAATAAGATGCTCACGAAAAACAGGCCGCCGTGGCCAACCCCATCCCTTTTCCATCCATTTGCTGCTAGTAATATATGTGTTGCTTTTGTAGCATTTTAGACCAGCTTTGCACAGCTCTATCTGCCTGCTTATGTATGCAGGTCAACGTGACATATCAGATTAGAGGTGGTGAAATCGAATGTTGGCGAAAAGGGGATAGGGAGCTTCGCTCATCCAACTCTACCAACGTCCAGCTATTTAAAAATTTGAGTTCCTGAAGGAATTGTGTCCTGTAGCAAGACAAGCGTTTATGCAGAAATGGTCCACAACCGCCTAGCCATGCAGTGAGCATCTCACCTTTCAAACACTGGCAGCACTCATGCTTTGCCTTCATTCAGCAGAATCTCGCATTATGCCCGCAACAAGAGTCTCACTCACCCAAATGACCATTAACATCGCCCGCGACAAGATGAGCCATGCTCTGATATTCACACCGTGCCATTGAAAGCGATTACCGCAATCTCCCTTGCCATCAATGGATTTCGTGGGCAAATGGCAACTCCACACTAGCTAAAAGTTGAGGTATCTTGGAGGTCATTGAATATGAGCATGCCCACGCACATCGGGTAAAGAGCAGGGCCCCACTTTTCAAGGTGAAAGCGGGGGTTCAGCAGTCTTAAATGTCTCCCACCCGTATTCAGATGTAAGTTGTATTAAACCTGCTTTTGCACCACATTAACTATGCATGCCGATTTATCTAGGTCACCAGCGACCCTCCTCCAGCCGCACTGGATACAATTGCTTCGTGTCGTAAATGGCAGCATGTTATCCTATTATAAACGGCGAACAGGGTTGAAGAAACAGAGACTCCCGTGTCTCCAGAATGGCACGTTAAAAGAAACAGTATAACAAAGTTTTAGACCCTGCGCGCTCGCAATCGAAGGAGTAAAAACAGCAATCGCCGCTGATATAAGGGATGATCCCCTCTCCGAATGCAGGACAATACAACACTGCCCGAAGGTATGCATGCAGGCAAACCAAGTATTGGCATCAGATAAGTTAGGCATTCTTTGAGTGCAGATTTCGCTATGCGTTCAGACGCCATAAGCGTGAAAACACGAACCAGCTGCTTCATGAA